ATTGTATGTTAGCATGTAGATCGACAAAAAAAAAAAAAAAACCATCTTAGCGTATGTGAGTGGCTCGAAACGACTCAAAACTCATTGGTTCACACCCTAATTTTGCCTCTCCGAAAAAATTAAATCACATACAATATGAGATGCAAAATAAAACTTTTTTAAATATTTAATTAATAATATAATATATGATTTACCAAGCAATGGGTGTGCTCTTTCGAAGAGATGGACCCCCTTTTGTGCCTAGAAGGGCCCACACCTAATCCACTAGTCTCTAACATCCGGTTCCGCGATGCCTACTGCGAACGAGTCTTGCAATCGAGTCCGGTAAAATCTTATTGCCACGAGTCCTAGACCTCATGCCTAATAAAATGAGGTCGTTTAGTCCTCAAACCATGTTTATGGACGAAGTCGGAGTAACACTTCCTTAATAGAGCCTCCCAAGCTTATTTGGCAATTGCCTCAATGGCCGGATCTCAATAAAAATATTTCCACATAAATTAAAATAAGTAATATTAACTACTTAATATAATGATAAATTAATATCGTAAATATAATAAAACATTACCCTAAATTCACTAAAGAGAAGTTTAGTGACATTCGAGATGGACTTCCACGCCGACCCACCAACGTTCGACCGCGACTTGAAAATCTAGGTTATCCTAGCAGAATAATCTTTACTAGGTAGAGTAAATCCGTTGAACGTCAAAAAAAAAAATAGTAGGTCATTATTGAAAAGGCATATTAAACTAAGCAAATATTAACATTTTATTTAAACAATAAACAACCGTCCACGAGCGACGTAAATAATCTACCAATTGGATGGACTTTCGAAGCTCTTTAAAGCGAAAGATATATCGATGAAAGTTTCACTCGTCGTGATCAATGCGGGAACCTTTATTCTCGATGCGAGAACCTCTATCGTCGACAACGTTGTAAATGTGTTGGCTCCATGAAATGAAAAAGAAGAACGTCCACGGCCTTGGGAATCGAGGGACCCATGTACGGTACCTAAATTGGGAGACCCTCAATCGACGCCGGTTGGGGATCCCCGTGGTCGTCATCAATCGAGGATGCACGTCCACGACTATAGAAACCACGTGTCATAGCCAAATAATATGACTTAAGACAATTAAAAAAAATATCGATATTAATTAACAAATTATAATATTATAATAAAATTTTAATCTAATTAATTTAAGAATAAATTCAACTAAATGTAATAAAATTATTCTAATTTAAACGTTTGCTAAATTTTAACTATCGAGATTAATTAACAAATTATAATATTATAATCAAAATTTAAGCTAATTAATTTAATAATAAATTCAACTAAATGCAATAAAATTAGTTCTAATTCAAACATTTACTAAATTTTAACTATTGATATCAATTAACAAATTATAATATTATAATCAAAATTCAATCTAATTAATTTAATAATAAATTCAACTAAACATAATAAACTTAATTCTAATTCAAAAATTTACTAAATTTTAAATATCAATATTAATTAAAAAATTATAATATTATAATAAAAATTAAATATAATTAATTCAATAATAAATTCAATAAATGTAATAAAATTATTTCTAATTTAAATTTTTACTAAATTTTAAATTTTGATATTAATTAACAAATTACAATATTATAATCAACATTAAATCTGATTCATTTAAGAATAAATTTAACTAAATTTAATAAAATTAATTCTAATTCAAATGTTTACTAAATTTTACCTATCGAGATTAATTAACAAATTATAATATTATAATCAAAGTTCAATCTAATTAATTAAATAATAAATTCAACTAACATAAAAACTTAATTCTAATTCAAACATTTACTAAATTTTAAATATCGATATTAATTAACAAATTATAATATTATAATCAAAATTAAATATAATTAATTTAATAATAAATTCAAGTAAAAGTAATAAAACTATTTCTAATTCAAACATTTACTAAATTTTAACTTTTGATATTAATTAAAAAATTACAATATTATAATCAAAATTTATCTAATTAATTTAATAATAAAGTAAATTAAACATAATAAAATTATTTCTAATTCAAACATTTACTAAATTTTAAATATCAAAGCCTAATTAATAAAAATAACTATATTTAAATTAACCCTAATTCAAAATAAATTAAATATTAAATATGAATTATTTAACCATTTAGACTATAAGTAATACTAAAAATCAATCAATTCAAATAATCATAATTAAATTAATCCTAAATCAAATTAACTTAATTTTATTAATCCTAATTGAAATGTTAATTATATTTTAAAATAACAACAACAAAATTAATAATTAATACTAACCTAACAATTAACGAAAATAATATAAAAAAATTAACAAATTAACAATTAATATTAACATAACAATTAAAAAAATAAAAAAAATTAACAAAATTTTGACTTACTAATTAATAAAAAATAACTAACAATTAACAAAATTAACCTAATAATTAACCATATCAATCTAATTAAAAAGAAAATTAAAGATCTAGAAAGAGAACAAATTACCAAAGGAGAGGAGGGAGAAGAGAGACTGTCGATGGATGTTGGGGAGAAAGTTATGACTTGTAAGACCGAGTGGGTTGGGGAGGGATTGGGGTGGCATGGGCGGTGGTTATGGGCTATTAGGGATGGCGACGACGGTGGAGGAGAGGAGAGAAGAAGGGAAAGGGGAGAGGAAGAGAAAGAGTCCGAAAGTTATAAGGGCTTGCGATTAGTGACGGATACGTTTTCATCGCTAATCTATTGCTAATTAGTGACGAAAATAAGTGTCTATCGCTAGTTTGAATTTCAAATGTTCGCTCGAATTGTCTAAAAAGATTGAGAAGTTTACCAAAAATAATGATAGACAGATTGTTCATCGCTTATCCATCACTAATTAATGATAAAATAGTCATATCCATCGATGATTCGAATTTTCAATGATCGCTAAATTTGCTTACATATTTTTACAAATTTTGCTAATTATCGATGGAGTAATGATGGATAGCGATGACATTTGTATTCCGTTGCTAAATTCTCTTGCAAGGATGTCACCAATCTATCATTGAGCTCTCACTAGCAACAAAAACTATTTCGTTGTTAAATATCCATCTCTAAATCATCGTTGATCCATCACTATATTATTTATTTTAGATTTCATCACTATTCAATCGTTATTAAGTAGGTAAATAACGATAAAAATAGTCTCGTTGCTAAAGTCAATCGTTAATTGTATATTTTCTTGTAGTGTCACCAACCACGTTGAGAACTTCATATCACAATCACGGCTCCAATAGTTTACTCCTCCACCAAATCCATAAACATCAACAATAGCCTCAATAAAACCTTATAAGCATCCACCATCCAAACTAGCACAAGTTAGAGACACAAAAGAAATAACCCATATTCAAAAAATTCTAGTACTATCTATCTAAAACCCACCACCCCAAATTAACAAAACCCCCGCACCATTTGTCAAAAACCATAGCCTTGAAAACCACCATTAAAAAAAAAAACCCTAACTCTATCTATCTAAAACTCACAACTCCAAATAAATAATCATCAACAAAACCCCTCGAGCACATAATAAAATGCAAAATCAAAGCATTCAAATCGCCAGTCTTACTCACTCTAAAATACACCTAAACAACTAGTAATCAACACCTCAAGATCTATATGTTAAAGAATAGTACAAAACAATTCTTAAAATTTCACCCAACAACGACAAATTTTTGAATTGACATGATTTTTGGACATTGTATTAGAATTTTGATGACCAAACAATTACGAGTTAGAATCTCATGACTCTAATCTTTTTTTTTAATTAAATAATTAAACATAAGATAGCGAGTAAGTCTATATAAGTTTTAATCTTTGAAAACTTTTACTTGAAAGAATGTGCTAGAGAATAGTATAAGATCGTGTTGAGTGAAACTCCATAAATTATTTTATATCACTCGGTGCTATAATCAAATATCTTAAATTTTACTCAAAGAACAAAACAAATAGATGAGGATTGAAAAATGTGTATTGAAAATAAACGGCAAACGGAAACTAAAAGAAATATAGAGAGCCGGAGAAAGAAAAAAGAAACAAGGAAAAAATCAAGGTAAAAAGGAAAAGGAAAAGAAGATGCAAAAAATAAGAAAAGAGAATAGGAAAAAAGGTGTCAAAATTAGAGATGAGAATAAAAATAATTGAAAAGGACTGCCGTCTGAGCTGGTTAGTGACCGACGACAGGCCCAGAATTATCTTAAAGCACTAAAAAAGCAATAGTACTGTGCAGTGGATTGGATTGAGAATATATAATGGAAGGTGAAATAAAATGAATCTTGAAATACACGATAAAAAATAACACTTCTTTTTATATAATTATAATCGAGAAATTGTATTGGAATTGCACTGAATATCTAAAACATCTCAATCATGTGGCTCATTAGGTTTAATTTAAATATTTTTTAGCGGCATATTTGACTTAAAGCAACAAAGAATAATTAAGGCATTTTAACTACCATTATATAAGCCCTCTTGGAGAACACCTTAATTAATTCTTGGATTAAAGAGAGCGCCACCACGACAGTATCGTCAAAATTCAAAAACATCGCACACAAAAATTCCCTGATCAATCCCATAATCATTGCTTAAATTACATTTCGGCAGTTGGTATGCCCTCCTTCAAAATTCTTTGTTTTTTTTTTTCTTTTTTCAATGTATTAGCTTGCCATAAGTAAGGCATACATGGGAATCCATTAGAATTGTTATTCAAAACTCTTGAAAAAAGGGAGAAGAAAAAAAATCACTCATTGACATCACCATAATTATGATTAAACCCTGCTGGGGTTTGTTGCTTTTGCCTTTATTCTTTCCTCTTAGCTGTTTCCAAACGCCAAGAAAACAAGATTGCATGCATACTTATGTAGTTATCTGTTTTCATTTCCTCGCAGTTTCACAATCTCACCTCTGGAAGTTAAAAGGGGGGCAAGAGAAAGAAATCAACAAACTGTCTTCAAAAACCTGGACCATTCTGAAAGCTCTATAGAAAGATGAAGCGAAAAGGGAAATCGAGGGGTAGTTTTCACCATCATAAATATCTTATAAAGATGAAGGGAAAGAAGAGAGTGTGGCAGCCCCCATACTTGATGAAGTTGGTGCCATTTCTTCTCCACCAAGTACTGATTCTTCAACATTATCCCAAAAAGAAAGTTTGAGCATTGTTGGGATTCCACCCATTCAATATTCAATTCCTGCCTTTGCAAGCATTCCAATGATATCTCTCCTTCCTCATTCATGCTACAGGATTGCATTTCAATAGGCACCATGTTCTCCATGTTGTCAATCAATGGAGGCAAGTAATTTGTATCCATTCCAATACTAAAAGTTGCTTGGTGGGGCAGTACTGCCTGAACTTGATGGTGCTGGCTTGAATTCCAAGTTTCTGTGTTCATGCTTGCCGAATCATGAAAAAGCTCCCCACGAACACTACTATCAGCAATTCCATCAAGTGATGTACTGGTGTCAAACATAAATAAGGGAGCTGAAGATGAGAATAGGGTTTCTTGAACTTGTGGCCTTGTCAAATCTTGATGCACTAAATCTAGTTGGTTTGAGGCATAATTTATAGTCGCATGATCAGTACTAGTAGTTGAATTGGTTATGGTTGGAGGTGCTGAAGGCTTTCGTATCTTCTTTTTAATCCAAGAATTCCAATAGTTCTTTATCTCATTGTCTGTTCTTCCTGGCAAGTGACTTGCTATATGAGCCCATCTACAATCAATCAACTATGCATATTAGAAAATTTATCACAAAACTAGTGACTAAGCATAAATTACAAACAACGGACAAAGCAATTCAGTAAGTTAAGTTGTCTGAGTTTAGAGAAGCAAGGATTTGAAGTAACAATGACATGATTTAGTTAAACATCTATCAGATAGAGAAAGGGAAAAAAGCAATGGTGTTGAGTTAGTGCTATGCATAGCACGGGCAGGTATCAATTTCAACTGAAAACCTATATTACAACCTCTGAAATTGCTTTCTCAACGTCTCCCACACTGCTGTTGATAGGTGCTTAGAGGACTGCTAAAACATTAATAAATTATGAGGTTGCTTCTAGCTAGCTAGCGTATTTTTTGGGAAAAAAAATTTAGAAACCATGTCAAAACTTAATTTTCAAGCTTTCATAAAAAATTCAATAAAGAATAAATCTCCCCCATAAGCACCAACAAAAAGAGCAGGAATGAAGTCTCAGGATTATTATAGAGTACTTGCCATATTCTTTTTGAAGAACTGTAAGAAGTAAGGATTGACTGATTGAAAGACTTATTAATTGTTGCATTCTATGAGGCCCTATTTTATAAAAAAATAAAATAAAATAATATTCTCTATGAATCAAATTTGTAATTGCAAATGCCAAATTAATGTATACAGTTTGTTGCAAAACCTGTTTCCAACAACACCATGAAGGCTAATTATCAACTTTTCCTCCTCTGGAGTGAACCTCCCTCTTCTTATATCAGGCCTCAAGTAATTAATCCATCTCAAACGACAACTCTTGCCGCATCTTTGAAGCCCTATAAGATCGAAAAAAAGAGCAAACGTTAACCAATTATACTTATAATACTAAACAAGAAACAAAGCTTAATTTCCGGGAAAATTAATTGAAAAAACAAGAAAGTTTGAAAGAGAGATAGCTTGAGAGACAAAGTACCAGCTTTCTCAGGAACCTCACTCCAACATCCATAGCCATGGGTGGTGATATATCTGATGAGCTTTTCATCTTCTTCGGGTGACCAAAGTCCTCTCTTAACCTTTTGTTGGTTGCAGCAAGAATGGTGACCCATATTATGATATATCTCTTATTAGTCTCTTTTTCTTCCTCTTTTGTTTCTTTGAGTTTGGTTTCTTTGATTAGAGAGTTAGAGCTGGAGCTGGTTGTTTTGGGGCTAGGCAAGAACTATTGGTCACACTCTCCCCATTTAAAAGTAACACAAGTACAAAATGAGCCGACATGGATCGAAACAAAATGGGGTCCACGCAAAGGGACCCAGATATTCATCTAACCCTAAAACGACTTTTCATCAGCTCTTATTCGCATTCTCTCAAGGTTTGTGTCTGTGTTTTACTATTTTCTACGTAGAGTTAAAAGTTGTATTACGTAACCAAAATTCACGTACCCTAAAGACATTGCCGGTTGTTTCACAGACCTAACTATTTCTTTCTTTCTCAAGGAAAGTATTTGTAATATTCACTTGCCATTGTCCCATCATCTATATTTCCAGTTATGGAGTAACACATCAGGGGAATAAGGAGATACATTAACCTTAATTAGGAGAAAATGATTGAAACGTTAAGTGGCTACTGTAATTTTTTTCTTTTTTAGGAGTATGATTATGATAAATATAGTATGTAAGTTGCAAGTTGCAGAATAGAATAGGATTCTTTATGCAAGTTGACGATCTGCGGCAAAACCCACAAAACTTCTCAAATTAATGCGGCCGCAAATAACAGCAGCAGATTAATGATTACAAGTAGGAGCAAATTGATTTATTTATTGTCTCGATCGAGTACTGATTTGTGGTATTTTTTTTCTTTTCCAGGTACATGTTTTGATTCAGGAATTTCAGTCTCTTTATGTTGTATGAATTGTCGTAAAAAAAAAAAAAAAAAAAGATACTGGTATTAGATTATGAAGACTTGTGGATTTAGTCTCATCAATTGGGACATAAATTATCTCAAGAATGCTTTATTCTTACGCTAAAAAAAAAAAAAAGAAGCTCCAATCAACATATATCCTTTATGATACTAATTGTTTTGTTAAATATTATAATTGTTTATAAAAGGTTATTAAACTTTTGTTGTTTTAATTTCTCCTCCTTCTGGCTAGCTTTTTAATCTAGTTGAGACCCTTAAATTTTAATGCCATCTAGTTTTTCAATAAAGATAAAAGTTCAATTCCCAATTTCTCATATAACCCAGCCAGGGCTGTTTGTAATTAAACTAGCGAGACAAATGTTTGTGTTTTTTTTTTTTTTCCTCTTTTCCTCCTTATGATCTTACATACCCAATCCTAAAACTAATATTGATTTTTCATGAAATGAGCTAGCTTGTTTTATTCTTTTATTCAGTCCTACATATAGCTAAGCGCGTTAGAGCCACTGATTCTATATCGAATAAACAATAGAGGAGTTATATGTAAGATTGAAAATAGGTTATTCACGGTAAAGCTTATTTTTTTTTTTTTTTTTGAATGAAATTTAAACACAAATATCAAATTTAATATGATATCAAAATCTAAAAAAAAAAACCAACAATTTATTAAATATTTTGTAGTCCAAACCAGTTAACAGATTCTAAAAAAATGGTTTACAATTGAAGTCTTATACATAAAATAGAGAATAGATCACCTATACATCACTTAAGTTTTTTCAATAAAACCTAAACTCAAGTATCAAAATTTAATAAAGTGAAACATAATTGCAACATTTGAGATAGTTTTATTTTTGCTGGTTCATTGTTAGATCCAACACGTCTTGGGTTACATGTGAGGTAGCCTTTCCTATTATGTTGTTATAATAGAAAAAACAACCAACACTAGAATTGAACCTTGTTACATCAAAGAAGTATTCTTAGGTTAATGTGTTGACATAGTTAATCCAAAAGGAATTATTAATTTAATACAGTTGGAACTGTGATCTTCTTTTTTATACAAAGATAAGAGATTTAATTATAAATAATTTTTACGATGGATTTTATAGATATAGCTAGGAAACTAAAAATTATACCTTATTCAAGTGTAACCAATTGATATTCAATGGTTAACCAAAAGGTTAGTGATAAAAGGCCCGGATAAGTAGGCCGAATATTTTGCCAATAGCTAATATGCCCTTCAAATTTTGTTAAATAGATGATGATCAAGTTCACTGATGTGATAATTAGGTTAGTAATAGCCTATTAATTAAGGAGTCAAGAATAAGGTAAGGGGAGCTGTGAAATATTGACAATATGGTTTATATGTATATTATTTGCACTGCCATTATTTTATTTTATTTATGTGCGTGTTTGTGAGGAATTTAATTATATATATAGGCTTTTACAGAAAGCCCAATAACCGTTTATGATCAAAATTATTCAATACCATCTTTTTAACAGAAGGAATGATTAATGTAACACAAATTAAGGCCCGTCATTGATTAGTTAGGGTACATCTAGAGACGTCATGAAAATGAAATCACTTAATTTCGATTTTCCTTAATACTTACTTATCATTTATTTATGCTAACTATTCAAGAAAAGACCTCAACTCTAATATTCTTCAATAATTTTGATAGATATTGGTGACGGTTGCATCACGTAACACATGAACTGAAATCATATTCCTATGAAAATAGCATTAATTCATCAGTCCTTATGCTTACAATTTGTTTCTTTTTTAAATAAAAAATAAAAGAAAGACATTGAGAAGGACTTGTGATTTTTTGGTAATGCAGTGAGTCTAATTAATACACTTAAATCAGTTTGACTAAATTTTGTCCTCTTGCTTAATTAACAAGAAATTATGTGTTAATTGTGTGGGAATAACGTTTATACGTAACATGGTTAACATCACTAAATCCAATTGGTTGTTGATCTTATACAACTACTCTTTCATAAGATTTGATCTCGTGATCAGCACATTTTACGTTTCTTAAAATTTAATCATATGATTCATATATAGTGCATGGCTTATCAAAAAAAAAACATAATTCATAGTTATATACTTAATATTTTCATCATCCGTAGTGAGTTTTTTTGTGCAATTGTCTTCATTAGGGATAGTGCGGCAAGCTTATCAGCTAGACTATTTATTATTCTTTCTTTTTCTTTTTTCATTTTTTAGGAGTAAAAGTCTCCTAGCAGCTTATTCATTCAAAACACACACATATATATATAATTTGGTTATTGAAGAAAAATAGAGAGAGAGAAATTATTGTAGGATGATCCAAAATTTCTCAAGAAAAAAAGTGTGCCCGGAAGCCCCCATTTACAGAGTGAGATAATTTTTAGTGTTTTATCATTATCTCACACACACATATATTGGAATTATCCATGACACTTAACTTCGGTTTTTTTTTTTTTTTTTTTGCAATTCAAAAATCGCTATTGATATTCAGTGATATTTAGTGAATATCACTAAAATTTCTATCACTTAATTTGTTCTTTCAACGATATAATTTCTATAATATATTGGCATAAGCTTATTGTACCAAAAAATACAAAATTTATACTTTTAACTATATTAATATATTTTTTTAATATTAGGCAAAAAATACACAAACTAATTTATGTTAACTATATTAACACTCTTGATTTTTTTCGAGTCAAAATTTCGTTAGCATTAGATATGGTAGAAAAATATATTGATAGTAAAAACTAAAATTTTCTGTCATATCGGATGTTAATGGAATTTTGATCATAAAATATCACTCGTGTTAATATGATTAACGTAAATTTAATTTATGTATTTTCTATTCAATATTAAAAAAAATGTTAATATGATTAAAACGTGTAAAGTTTTTATTTTTTTATATGATGAGTCATTATATATATGTGTGTGTGTGTTTGTGCGCGTGTGTATTTTCTATTCAATATTAAAAGAACATGTTAATATGATTAAAACGTGTAAAGTTTTTGTTTTTTTATATGATGAGTCATTATATATATATATATATTGTAAATGATTTAAATTCATGAGAGAAGGCCCCAAAACCACATGCATGTTCCTCTTTAATCCATCTTTTTCATTTAGCTAAACCATCAAAATTATATTATTGTATATAATTTCTGAAATATGAAAATGATTTATTATTATTATTGGATACAGTATTGTCCGTACGTACATACGTATATACCATGATATTGTTGAAATACTCCATCTTTTATTTCAATATATATATATATATATATAAACAAGGTCTTTATCTAGTGACATCAAAGTTTACAGATTAGTTAGAAACATAAATAGAAATTGGTATATTTCTTTGTATGGTTTGCTATGGTGTTTTAAACGTTTTTATACGTAGATGGATCAAAATATTGGGAGGTTGTAGAGAATGAAAATGAGGGCAATATTCTGTTGATTGATGCAAATCATCCACCATATTTGATGTGAAAATAAGAATGTGACTTTTGCTTGGATGGATCGCAAGCTAAAACTTTGAAAGTAATATACAAATCATTTTTAAAAGAGACTCTTCAAGAGGATATTGAAAAGGGGAAATGATTATACTTAGCTTTAAGGAGGAGCAATGGAGTGGCATTGGGCCTACCAATTTACAATTTGAAGTGCTTAGTAGCAAGAAAATTTTAGGGACTTTGCCTTTAAAAGCATGGTTGGTTAAGTTATTAATCATGGATGTAAGGACTCTACCTTGAGCTCTTTGCTTAAATGTGGTCCTCATGGTTTCACAACCATGTTTATCTTAATACAATAATGTGTTTAAATGATGGTTTTTCTTCTCTCGTGCCCCACCATGAATCTTCACATGGACCCTTTTCCTTTCATATGCTGCTCATTCTTTCCCTTCCATTAATACTCATATATACGGGACTCCAACTTCATCCCTCTGATCATTCTTTCGGCTGCCCCCACCATTGCTTGCTAGAAATGGAAACCATTAAATATCAATTCTCAAGATGTCCAATTGAAATACTTTAGATCTGATTTCCTTTCTCCGACATCAATATCTTATAACTTGCTTCCAACTCCAACAAACTCAGTTGCAAATAAGACCGGAAACAAAATATATTTAAGGTAGAGATATGAGGATCACTAGGCTGAGATGCTGTAGCACCCATGAAGTGA